CCGTTTATTGTTGCTATCTCGAGTTTCGTCTTGTCGACAATATTGACTTTCCCGATGTTTGTAGAGGAGACGGTCCCCCCCCCCCTCTCTCTTTCTCTCTCTAGTGACGTCATTAACTACGTGAATAATTATCGTACCAGATGTATAATTATCGTACACTTGACAACTAACGACCAGATGTATAATTATCGTACACATAACAACAGATTATCAGTTTTATAATTATCTTACATGTTATTGTTTACTTACTGTCAGGATGATGATGTAATATAATAATACGAAATTACGGTACATTTATACGTCATTCCAATCTTAATTACATATCGTTTTTCTTTTGTTTATTGTTATTGTCACCCGCTTGCATCACATGTTAACAATGTCCCGCGATACAGGTGATGGCAGTATTAATTCAATCGTCTGTGTATATTTGCGTATCAATATTTATTCGGATATGCGGTGGCCGAGTGCTTAGAGTACTCAGTTTCTGTGTTAAGAGTCGCTAGTTAACGCTTGGGCACCCTTTGTCCACCCAGTTGTGAATGGGTACCTGACATTGCAGTTTGGGTAATGTAAGCAGTCAAGTTCAGTGTCGGCCATATTGTTTTCTTGTTTACCGACTAGAGTAGAGAGGCTTAGGGTTCAGTGAGGTCATCATCATCATCATCATCATCATCATCATCATCATCATCATCATCATCATTATCATCTAGTTATCACCACAATAATCACATTTTTTCTTATCACCATCGATTCATAGTGTCATCACCATTATATCACATCAACAAATGACTACGTATATCACTATCACCACTACTTATCAATCACCATCACGTGTTATCAAGACTGTAGTAACGTGCTTGTGGGGGGGGAGGGGGTGTGTACAATGGTAGGTGGCAGATAGGAGAGATTCTCAACCACTAAGCTACTTATCTAGATACTTGTATTGTGTGTCAGTAGTAGTTGTTGTTGTTGTTGGTGTGTGAAGACTGATGGGTCGTGGAGTATATGAGAGAGAGAGAGAGAGAGAGAGAGAGAGAGAGAGAGAGAGAATATTGGGAAAATGTTGACGGGAGGTATATGTAAAAGCGAGGTTGCCGAGAGAGAAGATAAATAGGCAGGCAGAAGGAGAGAGACAGACAGACAGACAGAGAAGGAATGAGAGATAAACAGAGAGAGATAAGAGAGATAAGAGAAAGAGAGAGAGAGAGAGAGAGAGAGAGAGAGAGAGAGAGAGAGAGAGAGAGAGAGAGAGAGAAATTCACACGAACATTTTTAACCAAAAGATTGAATAAAACGCTTCATACAAGAGTCAAGAAGTGCGTCAGTCGGAAATCCCTTCCTGAGTTAAGAGTTTCGAATCCCTCTTCAGGGTGTTCGAGGACGCGGAATCCCTCAAAATAACATTAGATGGTTTCAAATCCCTTCTCAATAGCACTGGGGAGGCCTTAATCCCAATGGCGATGGGTATTTTCTTCATCCCTATAATCATGTATACTGTATTAATCCCTCTAAAATAATACAATAGCTTAGTGCACTTGTTGATGATTAACGCGTTACGCCATCAATCAGCTGACTAAATGTAAACAAAACACATTACATCATCAATCAGCTGACTATATAAACAAAACTATACAATACTCTCTCTCTCTCTCTCTCTCTCTCTCTCTCTCTCTCTCTCTCATTCGATCACAGGAAGGGGCGAGTATTGACTGTAAAACTGTAGGTCTTTCATCTTTAAATGTAGCCCAAAAACTCCTCGCTAGTGACCGTGGAAAATGCCAGAGTGTCTTTTTAAAATAACCTGGATTTTCTGAAAGTGGTGAAAAATTGTTGAATGTCCTCTAAAAAATAAAGACCGGGAATTTTAATATTTAGGAAAAATTCTCACGAATTCTTGGAAAATAATGAAGATGTTTTGTATTTTTAAGAAGTTGGGTTTTAATTAATAAGAGTTTTGAGGTTAAAAAAATAATATCTGAATGTCTTTGAGAATAAAATTTAGAAATGCCAAGGTGTTTTGAGACTTTGGGAAATGTCCTGGAGTTTTTGGGGGGGACCTTGAGAAATGTCCCATGTCCTTGAAATGTCTTGGAGTGTGGGAACAATGTTGAGTCTTAGACACTTGAGTTATGTTATCTGTTAAGCTTGTTCCCACACTGGTGACTCAATGCTCCTTCCCACCTTTCTTCTTCTCTTTATTATTCTTTCTCATCTCCTCCTCCCCCTCTTCTCCTTCAAACTCCTCCACTTCTCCCACCTTTCTTCTTCTCTTTATTATTCTTTCTCATCTCCTCCTCCCCCTCCATCAGTACACGGATTCTCAAACCAAATCATTCACTTCACCTTCACTAAGACCAAGACAATTAGCCAAGGTAGAATCGCTCTTCAATATCAGTCACATTGCTGTTCGATTTTGTTTTTTTAAAGGATCTTTTGAGGACCATGATATTTAGGGGTGATTACAAAAGTCAGTTACTCGTTACAAAGGTCATTTACTCGTTACAAAGGAAGAGTCAAAATCCTGTAGTTCTTAGTTCATGTAGAGGAAACCGTAGAGTGTAGTGTAGTGTAGAATGTATAGTGTGAAGTATACTGTCGACTATAAGGTGTAGTGTAGAGTGTACCGTAGACTGTAGAGTGTACCGTAGACTGTAGAGTGTACCGTAGACTGTAGAGTGTACCGTAGAGTGTACCAGAGACTGTAGAGTGTACCGTAGACTGTAGAGTGTACCGTAGACTGTAGAGTGTACCGTAGACTGTAGAGTGTACCGTAGACTGTAGTGTGTACCGTAGACTGTAGAGTGTACCGTAGACTGTAGAGTGTACCAGAGACTAGAGTGTACCGTAGACTGCAGAGTGTACCGTAGACTGTACCGTAGACTGTAGAGTGTACCGTAGACTGTAGAGTATACCGTAGACTGTAGAGTGTACCGTAGACTGTAGAGTGTGCCGTAGACTGTAGAGTGTACCGTAGACTGTAGAGTGTACCGTAGACTGTAGTGTAGTGTAGACTGTAGTGTAGTGTAATAGGAACATTTCACCACTGGGCAGCCTTGATCTAGCCTGGTGGTATTAAGGTACAATGTGACGTGTTGACATATTGTGAAATACTGAGGTGCCTTGTGTCTATCTATCTATCTATCTATCTATCTATCTATCTATCTATCTATCTATCTCTGCCTGGTTATGGATGGTGTGTCGACTGATGCATCTGTTAATATTTAGTTTAATGTTAAATTGAGGTTAATATACTGTGTGGTGGTGGTGACTGAGCTGTTACTAATATGGTCATGCTCTCTCTCTCTCTCTCTCTCTCTCTCTCTCTCTCTCTCTCTCTCTCTCTCTCTCTCTCTCTCTCTCTCTCTCTCTCTCTCTCTCTCTCTCTCTCTCTCTCTCTCTCTCTCTCTCTCTCTCTCTCTCTCTCTCTCATTGAAAAAGTATTGGAAATATTTCTCTTCAGTGTATGAGCTGCCCCCCTCCCCTACTCACCTCCCTGCATTCCTCTACTCCCCCTGCATGCACCCCTCCTCCCCTCCTGCATTCCTCTCTCCCCCCCTGCATGCACCCCTCCCTCCCCTCCCTGCATTCCTCTACCCCTCATGCACCCTCCCTCCCTCCCTGCATTCCTCTACTCCCCCTGCATGCCCCTCCACCCCTCCCTGCATTCCTCTACTCCCCCCTGCATTCACCCCTCCACTCCCCTCCTGCATTCCTCTACTCCCCTGCATTCACCCCTCCCTCCCTTCCCTGCTTCCTTTCCACTCTTCGCCCTTCCAGCACCCCTCCACCCCTACCTCCCTGAACTACCCCCTCCCTCCCCTGCCCCAGCTGCATCGTCCCGGGTAGGTCAGATATGTTACGTCACTATACTTCTGACGTCACCACCCCAAGGTCAAACAAAAACTCGAGAGGAGAGCTTTTGACCTTTCCTGAACGTTCTACTGACCTCCTTGTTGTGCCATGATATTCCTTCGTTCTTATCCTGAGAGAGAGACTGTGTGTGTGTGTGTGTGTGTGTGTGTGTGTGTGTGTGTGTGTGTGTGTGTGTGTGTGTGTGTGTGAAAAAACAGATGCTGAATTATTTAATGTTGGTCATGTTATGTGTTCTCAACCTTCTCTAAAATGATCACTTTTTCCTTATTAACTAAACTAACAAAACGGAAGACAGCCTCCACACACACACACACACACTACACACACACACACACACACACACACACACACACACACACACACACACACACACACACACACACACACACACACACACACACACACACACACACACACACACAGGTATCAGTTCTACTCATATTTTAGTAACTAACTTGGCTACGAACCTTATATATCACTGAGTCATCGCCAGACGCACGCCAGGCGAAGTGTCTCAGGAGAATAGAGTGTAATGCTGAATAATACTCTGGTTGAATCTTCGCCAGACAGACGTCGGGAGGAAGATTGTGGAATATCCATCGTTAGTAATAATTAAGCAAGTAGGTGGAATTAATCGAGTGTGGGTGGAGAGTGGAGTGGGTAAAGGGCAGGGTGGATGGTGTGTGGGTGGCGGGGGAGGCGGATGGTGGGTGTGTGTGTGGGTGGGTGGGGAGGGAGGCGGATGGTGTGTGGGTGGGTGGGGAATGTGTGGGTGGGTGGGGAATGTGTGGGTAATGGGTTGGGTGGAGAACGAGGTGGATGATGTGAGGGTAGGTGGAGAGTGTGGGTAAAGGGTGGGATGGACGTTGTGAGGGTGGAGGGGGAGGCGGATGGTGTGGAGACGAACTCAGTATAGGTCACCATGAAAGGTTAAAAAAATGGATAAAAACAAAAGTTGATTAATATTTTGGTATTTGTTCATATCTTACGAAGATTACATGTGAAAATAATATACAATAAACAATAAAAATACAGTACATAATAAACATCTAGTCAAATGAGCATTTAATCAGATGAAACTCACGTACAATATTTATTTTTACCGTCAGTATACAGTATATTTTAGAATACTTTATTGACAAATTGATTAAGGATTTTGTTCTTTTTTTAGTAAATTGGAAGTCTGTACAGTAATCAGGGAAGAAATTTGTCCATAAAGGTGTAAAATTGTTTGGAGAGACGCCATGTCAGGTAGCCAGAGGAGAAGTCGGTCCTTTGAGAGGGACTTGGATGACCGACACAGCAGGAGAACTTTTGTCGAAGTCCCCGAGCAAAAAGAATCAAAGAAAATGGGTAGTCGAGAGGAGAGAGATTCTGTGAAAAGTGAGAAAAATACCAGAAATGAATTACGGAAGGAAGATAGAGAGGATTCTAAAATTATCCAAGTGAAGGAAATAGAAGATCATAAAGTGAGGAATAAAGAGGAGGAGGAAGAGCAACACCTGCGGGAGTATGTCTTCTCAAAACGAGGCATTGAACCCCAGGAGGCGAGAAGGATGAAAGAAAACGGAGATCTAAGGCGGACTAAAGACGCCAGAGACAGCAGGCGCGGGAAGGAGAGAGCCAGTGGTAAACACGATAAAGAGAAGAGGAAATCATATCCCACTGAGGAAAAAGTAGGGAGTAGGCGAGTTAGAACTCCACGGAGGACGAGAAAGCCCTCGCCAGTAAGGTCGGCCTCAAACACTTCGTGGACGTGTTATGATGAAAATGATGACAGCATCGCTTATATTGTGTATGAGAGGCTGGTAAGTGTTAGCTAGGAACTGTGAGTCATTTCTTATTCATGACGTGAGGTTGTGTAATGTATTCCTGTTAGTTTATATTGAGTTTCATATAATTTACAGTTTACCTTACGTAATGCGTTGGTATTAATTATTAAACTATGTACAATCCTGTATTCATTAATATAGTTGACATAGCTGCATTCCAATCATTTCCAGAATTCATATATATTTTCATGAGACTAAACAAATATTTTTAATTAGATTCCATGATTTTTTTTTCCATTTTATTTATAACTTGTGTACCAGTATTGACATTCTCGTGGGCTTTAGCTATATTAGTCATCTCCTATTAACATTAATGAACAATAATTCCTAATTACATTAAATCTACGCCTGACAAACCGACTCATTTGTATAATTTGATTTATTAATATCCCTTCCTGTCAGACCGTCAATGGAAGTACACTCATTACAATAACATGTGTCAAGAATACAGTGGTTCGTGTTGATGCTCTATTGTTTTATAAGCGCTTATACTAGTCCATCAGCTACGATAATCATCAAAAATTAAGAGTTATGAGAGATCTGTGAAGTATTCTGATGTCTTGTCTCATATAATGTCTTTTTCGGCAGACCAATGGCGGGCAAGACGAGTGGGAGAATGAGGACATCACGTTGGAGAGAGGTAACCAAGGACTGGGCTTCAGTATCGCCGGCGGCACAGACAACCCACACATCGGGTAAGTAAACCCCCACAACTTGTCATGGTGAAAAAGGAACCTGAGTTGTGGTTATGAATGACGAATAGCTTTTATTGATTGTGGTTTATTGTTAAATTTGTTATGTCTGGACACACGCAAACAGCCTTCACAAGGAGTTAGTTAAGTTACCACAACCTGCCGCAGTAGAGAATGAACTTAACACTTACACACAGAACTTGAAGATCCATAACTTGTGGTCTTGGAGGGTGTTGATACAAATTCTGTGGGTTTAGAGGCCAAGTTGTGTTATGGGATCGTAGGAATAACTTGTGCATTGCTACTAAATACTTGAGAGCTAAAGAAAATGGTACATGTGTGCGTGTCGTATTTAAGGGGAGACTTCTGTGTTAGTGGTGTGAATGCGTTTGTTGGGGGGAGGAATGGTGTGGAGGTGTGTGTGTGTGTGTGTGTTTGTGTGTGTGTGAAAAAACTTATGCCGAGGGAAACAAAGAAGCCCAAGACATAACTTACAGGCTTCATAAATATCTCTTTGTTCACGAAGTCACTTAATCAAGGAGGATTTTATCTTCTCTCTCTCTAATTCATTTTCAGCAACAGTTTTATCTTCTCTGTGTTGCCATGCTTCTATCCTGCAACAGCGAAACACACACACACACACACACACACACACACACACACACACACACACACACACACACACACACACACACACACCAGCGAGATACTTTATTTTTTTTTATGGCTGTTATTTTACACCTTTTCCTGCACTGTTTGATCCTTATACATTTAAACTTATCATTAGGTTAGAGTTTTAACCTGGGTACCTTGAGCAAGTTGACAGATACAGGATCTTGACACACTACAGCCAGAAATCCCAGTAAACACATTATTAGTTTATGTTTTTGACTTATATAGAAACTTAAGGGAAAAACAATGTGGATTCAAAGTGTTGAGTGGTTTATGGTAGTGGGTATGGTAATGATGGTGGGTGATTCTGGGTTGTTTCTTGAAGGGGGACGCCACAACACAACACACGTCAGTTTAACAGTGAGAGAGAATGAATGACTGTGAATACCGGGAGAGGCTCTGTTGCTCATGATTCCAGCTACAATGTGTCTTGCGGTAAAAGGATTGTAAGAGTGGAAATGGGTTTTTTGTGCTTAAGAAACTGATGTTTGCTTGTGAGTCGCGCCTTTTGTTATCTCTCAAGACAAAGAGGAAGTGTATAGTGTATGTGTATGTGTGTGTGTGTGTGTGTGTGTGTGTGTGTGTGTGTGTGTGTGTGTGTGTGCGTGCGTGCGTGCATGCGTGCGTGCGTGCTTGCGTGCGTGTGTGTGTGTGTGTGTGTGTAAATTTTTTTCAGTCTTTGTTGATATTTTTGTTTATATGGTGCAAATGGTGTACAGGCTCTCTCTCTTACCTGTAATGGTGGGGGCTGAGGGTCGTCTGCATATGCTTGTTTATTTATATTTTTTATTATGGTGAATACTGCAAAAATGATCCCCCCCCCCCTGTATACGAAGATGGCCACCTAGGCGTGAATTTGTTTAAGGTGCAGAAGCTGTTGCCAACACAACCACTACACCCAAAGATAACAAGTTGTATGACCCAGTATCGAGGAATAATAAAAAAAGACCAGGTAACTCGACAACTGCACTGGCGAAACATTACCCCGGAACACAGTCTGCAAATCGATTAACGTCCAGGTCCCCAATTACTGCTGGGTAGACAGAGGCAAATGTCATAAAGATACTTGCAGTCCATTACATCATTATATCATTATAATAAAGAACCAGCATTAAGGCTATCATACTATTTATAATGTCAATAGAAATGGACCAACCATAAGACAATCATAATAAGAGCACTTACCTGTAATACTGTAATATTAATGCTGTATAATAACACTACAGTTCTTGTATTAATGTAATAAAATACTGTACCATAAAAGTTTAGTAGCATGGATTATAAAAATTCTGAAAAGTTGCCAGTTGTCCGAGGTGTTTGGATTCACAGAGACTGAATTTGTGGGAGTGAATACCTGTAGTACTGTATAGTGTATTTGGCTAGTAGATATATGTACGTATGTGTCAGATGCTTCTGCTCTGCTAAATCCATCTATTAATACGTACACCAGTTACCAATCCCATGCACAAGGTTATTCTCAGATGATTCTTGTTTCCTTTACAGTATAAGTTTTCTAATTTTATTTGTTGCTTTTCAGGTCCGATACTTCCATCTATATCACCAAGCTGATACCAGGCGGGGCAGCGGCCAATGATGGGCGACTGCAGATTACAGATGTCATAGTCTCAGTTAACGATATTAGTGTTGTCAATGTTCCTCATGCAACGGCGGTTGATGCTCTTAAACGTGCTGGTAACACTGTACATTTGGTGAGTAGTAGGGAAAAGTTTTGTTTGTATGACTAATAAAAATATTGTTGAAGTTTCGCTTAACTTCTGAATTCCCGTGTTTAGAAAATGATGGATTCTTTCTGTTTAATTTTAATGAATATTTTAGCTTCCTCTGTATTATGTTGTGGAATGTTAATTTATTATTCTATAAATGAACTGTAGTGAATATTAATTCATTAAAATGTCTCTCCTGAAGTTAATTAAAAAAAAATAATTGCATAGAGACCTAATGGAAGCAAGCAGACTTATACAGTAAACAGGCTGTAAGAAGAGTGAAGATGCTAGTTCAGTATTTTAAGAAGTCTTCGTAAGAATAAAAATTTAGCTAAATTTTAATGCCTTATAACTTAATATCAGTTGGAAGTGCATCTAGAAGGGATTTTTTTTTGTGTGTGTGTATGATGCTTACTAGTATGCACTGTACCCTGTATAGTATTAGGAAACAGCTTTGTGTATTGGTATCATGGGAGTGTATATCCAGGTGAGAAAATATGTACTGTACTGTATTGTATTGTATCTATACTATATTAGCAGAATTGTAGAAAGCTTGATGATGATAATACTGATAGTAATGTTACTACTATTACTACGTCCTACTACGGGTACTCATAATGATGTAGTAATAATAATTCAGCACTCTCCATACTAATTTTGAACTCATGCTGTTATAAAAGGAATGTGGTAAAGCCTTTATTTAATTGTTAATTTTTTTTTATAATAACTATGACCAAGAAGGTATGGTTGCCAGACTAGGAGGGGGGATGCATGAAGCCTTGAACAGATAACCATAGCTTATTCACCCTGTGGTATAAAACAGTTTAATGGTTGACTCTTACAATGAAACCAAATATTTTCTGAAAAGAACTTTAAGGTTCAGTCAAGTATTCATTAGTGCTCATTTGATAAACCCTCGTGATTTTTGTAGAGAAGTTCCACAAAAGATTTCCTGACTTTCTTTTATTGAAACGAGAAGCACGTAATGGTTTTCAAATTGATGTAGCAAAATATTAATCCACATACTGAATAACCTGTATACTGAATTATTTATTTTATGCAATCCAAGTTTACACACTATTTAATCAGGCTCATGGAACTAAAATAAAAGGTTTCTGTCAGTCAAGAATGGAGACCAGAGTCTGGCTGCCATTTAAATAATCACTTCCAAATGCATATTGTAAGACTCTGTTGTTGAGGAAAGTTTTTTCAGACCTGTGACCTCAGAGAATGTCCCCTCCCCTTACTGACCATCATCAGATATTTGCTTAGGTTGTTTAAAATCATCTAACACATGTACTAAGATTACAATACTACAACACTGCTAAACTAAACACTCTGTCAGCTCAACAATTTAAATACATGTAGTGTACTATTAATTAAAAACAAGAGTGTGTGTGTGGTAAAACGTCAAGCAGTTAAAACATAAAGGTAAAAGTGTAATACTGCGCAGTACCCCATACACATCCTCATGAAGACACTGGTGGCAGAACTTATAAGCTAAGACCATGAAAAAGGCCTCGGGATTTATTGATCTTGAAGCTTAAAAATGTTGATGTTTAGTTTAGCTTCAGTAAGATGTGATTTCATTCCCATTGCTCTTGTTTATGGTTTACGTAAACACTGCGAGAGGAATTCCTTTGATTCAATGACTTGCTCCAATTCTCCGACTTCCTCTGATTCACCAATTAATATACCGACTTCCTTTGATTCACTGACATGTTTAGATTCACCAACTTCTTTTTATTCATTGACTTGTACAGATTCACAGACCTCCTTTGATTCACAGACCTCCTTTGATTCACAGACTTCCTTTGATTCACTGATTTAATTCACCTACTTCCTTTGATTCATCGATTTACTCAGATTCACCGACTTTCTTCTAACAATGTTGTTCTCCGCAGTGTGTGAAGCGACGTAAGCGTCCCCCAAATGTTATGCTTCTGGAGGTTGAGTTGATAAAAGGAAACAAAGGCCTCGGATTCAGCATCGCTGGTGGTATCGGAAATCAGCACATTCCTGGTGACAATGGCATCTACATCACAAAAATCATGGAAGGGGGCGCGGCGCATGTCGACGGTCGTGTGTGTGTTGGGGATAAGTTAGTCGCTGTAAGAGATACTCCAGTAAGTATTTTTGTTTGCAGTTGAAAAGAGAATGTGTGCGTGCGTGTGAACTAATATATGTAATCAATTTATTCTCTTTCAGTTGTATGTTAATTTTTGTAACAGAAACGTCTTTATAAATTAACTTTTCTTGTGCAGTTAACAATACAGGTATTGTAATATCCATGTTGGAACAGTGTTAAAGAGATGGTGTGTATAGATATGAGTTAAGTATACAGTATATCTAAGCACTCCTTCACATTATTGTATAGTTGTTCTTCCCCAAAACACAAAATAATGACCATGCCATCTCACAGCTAAGGCTTAACTACTTCAGTCTGAGTTAATACCTTTAAAGTCACCATTTTCTCTTTCTCACTTGCATTATTTCAACAGTGCCATCCTACCTGTCTGGAGTTGTCTTCCATGAACTTTGAAAAGGGCAAACGATTCACAGTCCTTTATTATTAACTGTACAAACAATGCATACTTAATACTTTGGTTAAAACTCCCAATAGAATTTGCATAGTTGGGTAAATCTGACCTGCAATTCTTCCTTAAATGAACAAAGACTTTCACTTCCATTTTTTTTCAAAGCTCCACGCAAGCAGGTAATACAGGAGTTAATTTTGCCATATGGCTCACTTCCATTTTTTTTTTTTTCTTACGGGAATTAGCCCACCCGGGCACAGGTCAAACAACCCACAACGGAGCCTGGGGGGCGAAAAAAAAAATGGAAAGAAATTAAAAATATAGAAAAAAAGGTTATACTGTATTAATCTACACCACGAAGATGCCGGAAAACCAGCTTTTTAAAGTGAGACAGATTGTAAGAGCAAGGAAACACAGAAGAAGGCAGAGCATTCCACAGTTTGGCTGTGTGAGGAAAGAAGGAGGTACTATAACGGGTTATTCTCGTGTGACTGACATCCACAGAGAAATGGTGGGCACCGCGGGCAAGATGTGTGTTACAAACTCACGGCCTTGCCGGTGGTACACAGGATGCTAAATCCACTGAACATTGCCCGTTAAAGTACCTGTAAAAGAGAGAGAGTGAAGCAACATTGCGGCGAAGAGAAAGGGGAGAGAGATTGTCGACTAAAGGAGGAGAGTTATTAAGACGAAATGCCTTTGATTCCACCCTATCTAATAGTTGGACAGAAGAAGAGCCACCCCAGATATGAGAGCAGTACTCCAAGTTAGGACAAATGAATCCCTTATATACTTGGAGCAACTGGTCAGGAGTGAAATAGCTGCGGCATCTGTACAGCATTCCATGCAAGTCTTACAAAAACCTTTATTTCCTCAACATCCTACATCAAAACTCCCTCTCTTTTTGTCCAGTCATAGGTATAGTCAGTCCACTTCTCCCGTTGTATTAAACATTGTCCTTATCCATTTTAGCTAATGTCTTGGTAACATGCCAGTTCGTCTACTCTCATTGTGTCGACTCTCAAAATGGCTACTATTATATTCCTATTTGGTCTCCAGCCATTAACACCTAACCAATGGTTAAGGATTCTCTACCCCTCCCTTACCATATGCATAAAAATATAATTCGAGGAACATGAAACTTCCACAAGTGGTGGCTGCCGTCCCTAAAGATAACTCCCACTGATAATGGCCAATGTTTAAGGCTTAATAGTTTGAGTTGATCATCCCTTGTACCTCTCCATCACTCATCCCAGATCATTTAGTGGCCATTTTGCCCATAGCCCAAATGTCCGAATACCATTTCATTTACCTCGGCTACACACAAGGGTCCACTGGCAGCTGCTCCTCAACTCTGATAATTTCCTTCTGAATGTAGATTTTTGTAACTCAGCTGACTTTTTGAGATTTTGATTCAGATTGTGATCCTTCACCTGGGCCTTTATCTAATTAGTTTGAGGTTATCATCACCTGTTTCACTGTGACTGCTGATAAGATTGTTGAAGTTTTCCATGGCCCTATAGTGTGACTTTGTATATTTCCTAACTCTTGTATCTTTGTATTTTAATTAATTTGATGGTCACTTTTGAGCTACATTGCAACTTTCACAATAATATTAAGCTAATTTTCATTGTTATTGGTTTATTTTAATATTTTTCTGGTATGCTTTAATTTTATGGCTTTTGGTGCATTGCAAGTGATCCATGAGAGAGAGAGAGAGCCTGCCAGTGTCAAGAAAGTGTGTATTAATAAGTGTTAGGATCTTCTCTTCATTTAGACAACAATAGATGATGTTTTGCTGGGAGTGCGAGGCTTAATGCTCTCCTGCCAAGGTGGATCCAAATTTGGTAGTCACCTGAGACACCAGCGAGATATTGTACTAGGCCATGGAGGTGTTCTGAGTTTGGGGTTCTTTTAATTCCCATACACATTTTCAGTTCTGCTTCTGAATTTAAAAGGGAGAAGATAGGGCTGAGAGTCAGTAGGGCTCAACTCTCTCCTTGTGTATGAAGAGAAGATTGAAAATCCTTTATACTTTATAAGGTATGCCATCCATGAAAGAGATTTTGTGTTTTTCCAAGGGAATCACTAGACCAATTACTGTAATTGTATCAAATATTTAAGTCAGAGAAACTTAATAAAGAGTGCAGTGGATAAATCTTCAGGTCTAGACACAGTACATACCAGGTCACTAGAAGACATACACAGTATTTTACAGTAAGTAGACCATTATTGATGATCTTCAACATTTGCTCAGAACAATATAATGCTGGAAGATTGGAAAACTATAAGACTATCAGTATTATTAAAGAAAGGGAATTAGAAACTTGATAGCAGCTACACACCTGTCAGTCTCACATGGATTATGAGACAATTTTATGGATTATATGTGGAACAGTCAACTCCTCAGTAACAAGCAGTATATGGATTTAGGAGTGGTAGATCCTCTGGGGTCCAACTGCTGGGAGTTCTGGATCCATGTACTAAGGTCATAGACGGGGAAGGGGCCTTGGATATGACTTGTATGGATTTCATGAAGGTATTTAATTAAATCCTGCATTGACATTGGCTCTATAAGCTCATTAATTGTAGTACCTTTATAACTTTAGAAATTTACCCATGAAAAGTATAAAAACATATAAAGCAGTAACAAGTGTAATTGGATTCTGGTATGAGTGAGCTATGTTAAGTGACATCCTACAGGGGAATCTGATAGGGCCAACATTCTATACTGTATACATCATTGATCTACAGGACTGTACTTGATTGTGTGTCCTCAGCAATGTGCCTCTTTGTTGGATGATATGAAGATGCTCTGACATATTCATCTAGATCAAGAATGGTGTCAAGTCCAAGTGAACATAGACAATTTCCAGAAATGGTCAGACACATGGTGGCTATTCCAGTTAAACTTAATAAAGAAAAGCAGATGATGGATGTTGTGTGGCTGTAAATCACCCACCTAGATACAGAAAAGCTAAGTTGATTGTACAGGTCCTCAGTGCAGCCTGACTTGACATATGAGAGTGCTGTCTGGCTTCTACACAAAATGAAAGATGTCAACACAGTCAAGAATGTTTAGAGCAGAGGGCAATGAAGTTGATACCAAGGCCATAAAACTTGAGGTATGAAGACATTATGATGAAAGTAAAGATGCCACCAGTTGTGAACTACAGAGTATGTGCAGATATGATAAAGACCTTCAGATTATACAAGGAATATACTGTACCATGAAGAGGCTGCCCACCACTAAGACCACATACAGTAATAACGGAGGTAACAGTGTCTTTAAGCAAAGCCCTAAATTATCAAGGAACTGGGGTTGATGTTTAATGTCACTCTTATGAAGTGTAGCTTTGGTTCTGTCATGTTCTTTGGCATCATAACTGCTGTTGTCTGTGTTGGTGTCAGCGAGTAATAAGCTTTTATATTTTACCCATTCGCTACGGTGACACTGCTTTTAATGTTTTGTTTGGCTAATACTGTACCAGACAATTTTATTCATCTCAGAGAGATGACCAAACAGAAGAGATTAAGTTTTTATGGTTCATAATTCATTTATCTTTTACTCTAACCATTTTGGGATTTAATATTAGTGTGTAGTGTATACAAGTTACATTGATTTGGCACATTGCTACTTTGTACATCAACTCAGAGATAGAAATAACTTAATACTGTATATCTTCAATCTGTCATGTGCAGTATCAAATGAATCTTAGAATCTCTGCCAACAGGTGATCTTGGCTGACCCCCATGATTCTTGACCTATAAACTTGTTGTTCAGACCTCTTGAGTGTAAAGTCTGTCTAAAATTGGAGTGAGTTTGGATTATTATGTTATGAGAAAGTACTAACCCTATTTTGATACACTATACCCAAGGAAATGAATTTACTACGTATTGAGATGAAAGCCAAAAACTTTAGTAATAGTTGATATCTTTGTATATTTAATCTTTCCCATTCCATATATGATATTGAGAGACTGAAATTGTATAAAATGTGGAGTTATATCTTTTCAAGTTCCTGCCTCAGTACAATACAGTATCAGAAAGCTGTATTAGTTAGTGAGTTACTGATAAACAATTCTTAAAATTAAATACATACAGTATATGCCACAGTAAGATTTCCAAACACTTTAAATGATTGTAAAGAATATTATGTTAAGCTCTTACTTGATTTTCATCCCATTTTAATCTCTTATGAAACTGTTAAGGAAAAATTGTCCCAGAACAAGCTGTGTGTTCAGGCCTCATCTGTAGACTGTAAGGCCAAGTATAGATGGCACTCCACAGATTGTTCCATTAGGGGCAGCATAATGGCTGCATTAGTGAAGCTTCAGGAGCTTTTCACTTTCATTTAATAGAGAGGCAGTTCATGGTAGAGATTTTTTCACTTTCTTTTTGTTTTAGGTTACACCAATAGGCTTAGATCTGTTTTGAAAGTGTGAAATATACAGTATAGTACTGCAATTGATTATGACTACAAGCACAGTCTTGTTGAGGGACTAGATGTAGCGTGGACAACTTGAGTGTAAGTTAGTGAGGATAATGACAGTTTTAAAAGGGTAAATACATGATCTTTTAATATTAATGAGTGATTAGTAGACCTGTCAAAAATACTTGTTAAATTTATCGTCTTTTTCTTCAACAGTCCGGAGATGTAAATCTAGAAAACGTAACCCACGAAGATGCCGTAGCTTGCCTCAAATCGACCAGTGACCGCGTGGTGCTGGTGCTAGGTAAGGTGGTCGCTCCTCAGACTAATGCCACCACGGACCTGGTTCCTCCTCCCTTACAATCGTCTGAGACCCATCAGCACCAAGACCTCACGCCCCCACCCCGTGAGTGATTAACCATTGCCTTATATAACTTCTCAGATTACTGTTTGAGTTTAAAGTTTTGTAAGACTATTGAGATATATGTGATGCCCTGTGTTGAGTAAACCTGTGTGGCAGAGATAGATGTGTATCACCTTAGGCTACTGTATAATCATAGACATTGATAGCAGAAAACTCAAAGTACTTTATCCCCCCTTTTTATGGTTTAGATCCTGATTTTAAGCCACCATGCTTATAAAAAAAATGAGGAATTAAAAATGATTCTCCTAAGATTCATAATTTTGTTGTTGTGTTTGTAGGTATATCCTTCAGTTTTTGCTACTCTTACTGTAGTTGAAGTTAGAACACTGTGTTAGTTTTTCCTTAGTGTATAGTACAGCATAGCTAAATCTGTGTTATATAAATGGTACTCACAGTGGGGAGGTTCCTACACAGGCACTTTATAATTTGTTGATTGTTGATGAATATGAAAAATATCTTAAATTATACAGTAAATACCTTTCAGTAATAGAAATACAGTATCATAAATAATACAATTAATAAAATGTACAATTAACATGCCGTGAAGCAAGTCAGGTCCCCTTCCAAAGAAAGAAACTGTAGTGGAAAATAGTGGCGTAGGGAATCTTGACAGGTTATCTTATTTTCCTGAAAGAGGACAGTTAAGATAATGATTATGGACAGGAGCCAATTCTCTCAACCTCAACTGTCAGAAGGATCACTCCCTGTTCTGATGTTCCATTGCATAGAGTAGGTCAAGTGGCGGGCTTCAGTGCTGCTGCCATGTATATTATTGTGAAGGCCTTGGAGGGTGTACTTGTTACGTCATTTTAAGTTGATTTTCTTGATTTTTCTTTCTGTATTGTGTTAGGTTTGTCTTAATGTTTGTGTCTGTATTGGGTCGAGTTTGCCAATAATGTGTGTGTATGGGTATTGTGTTAAGTTAGCCATTAGTGTGTGTATGTTGTGTCAAGTTTGCCAATAGTGTCTCTAGATTGTGTCAACTTTGCCAATAGTGTCATGTTTTCCTCCCACTCAAACAGGGTGTCACATAAACAATAATTCCGTACAAAATAGGTTAGAACCCCTGTTGCTATTTCTCATTCAGAATTTAAGTCATTTCAGTATGATTCAGTAACATTTTTTATACATCTGATTAAACTTTATATTGTTGATTATTGAAGTATTATCCTCGCTGACTTACAGATAAGCCATAAAAGTCATAGCAATTCATTATTAGTTTTATATTGACTTGCAAGGAGATATACATTGAAATTAACTGAGGTCGAGCATAAAGTAAACATCTTGGTAAAGTACATTACTGTACTGTACGTATATAGGAAAAGATAACACTGTACTGTACAATAATTTCAATGGATTTACTGTAACTTTAGCAGATCCTTAACTTTATAGCTTGTGGTGGTGGTTCATTAATACATCATCTTGTTCTATATAACACTGCATATTTTGTTATCTTAAATTCCATATACACAACCAAAATGACCACTAATTTCTTTTTTCCACTGTTGGTTCCTGTAAGAGTTCAGTCACCAACCAAACTTGTATTTTAATGCATTTTTATTACTAATTGTGTTTGATGAGTGGTCCTCCCATGTTCAATCTCCAACCATATATGCTTAGAGTATTGGTAGTGTTTGTTACTACGTATGACTTTTTTATGATTGGTTCTTTAAGGTTTAGTCTGCAACCAATCAAGTGCCTCGATTTTTTTTCTTCTTAATTTTCTATTACTACTGTAGTTTTTTATGATTGGTTTCTCAGGTTCAGTTTCCAACCAATCGAGTGCTGAAAACAATTTGAATCAGTAATGGTATTTGGTTATTGGTCTCTCAGGGTTTAATTTTCAACCAATCAAGTACCTGAAAAATATTGAATTTATAATTCTTTTTGATGATTGGTCCCTTAAGATTTAGGTCCAACCAATCAAGTGCCTGGAAAAAAATAACTGAACTAGTAATGGTTTTTCACGATTGGTTCCTCAGGGGTTATTCTACAGGCTATGGAGTGTCTGTTAAAATCTTTTCAAATCTGTATTTATAATAATTTCCCTTGATCAGGTTATTTTTCCTTTCCAGTACATGTCTCTTCCTCAGTTTGCTCTCCTCCCTACTCCCCCTCCTCCACTTCCTGATCCCCAAGCGTCTCATTGTGTTATCCTTGCAGTTTAGCCCCTTGCTAAAGTTTGTCCTAAAACAAAAATACAGTATTTCTGTTTTCTTTTTATATATGGTCCATTTTATTAATAAGTTTGTCACTGTGCTAATATTGTTTTTATCTACGGCTGTCTTGTTTTTGTTTTTCCTTTCTTTATACAGTTCTTGGGAAAATACTTCTTCTTTTAACTTTTTATTACGGCTTGATAGTGCTATTGGGGTGTTGAGTGGTGAAGTGCAAACCACAGAAGCTTAACTAGAATAGTGTGTTGGCTCATTGAAGAGGATGTAACCACTACTACATATGATGCATCAATTCACTGCTTTAGCTGAAAATAGAGTGTCGGTAAAAGCAGCCATAGTTTTAACCCCACATAACTGGACCAGGGCTGTTTATTCTAGCTTGTATTAACTTATTAGTTTAAGTCTTTAAGTCTTTTAATAGCTTTGTGGTGAATAATAACCGGCAGATAACAAGTGAATCCTTAATGCCAGTTGTCGAGTTACATTATCCAACCTACATGTTTTGCTGTATAAAAAAAAAAGAACCTCGACACGCTCCCCAAAGTGATGGTCTAACCTCCTCCCCCCTCCCATCGCCTACACCAGCGACGCCACCTCCTGCACCGCTTGACATCTCCTCATCCCACAATGAACTACTGATGGAGGCCCCTTCACCCCCTGATGATCTTGTTTCTAGGTAAGTACTGTTAACACTTTCACTTATATAATCATTGATAGAAAAGGAAAGAAATGCGTTGTACTGCCACTGACAAAGGTTTGCTCCCCCGTGGTGAAACTTGAGTCGCGGGAATGATCTCCGAATTGACTTACCCTGACTGTCATCTGGTGAGGTTGTGCTGTTTTATCTCATTTCGGATGGAGTCTGCTTCAGTTTTGGGAGGGAGAGAACTTTTGACCCTGACTGTACTTGTTCCTGAGCACTTACTAGAGCAGTTGTTCCTAGGCTTAATGAGCCAGACCACCAACCATGTCTTCCCACCATCATTTGTGTCACTTTATATCTAGAATCTGAGTTTAACATTAGACAAGACTTTTAAGATTAATATCACATCCCGTCATGGAGATTTTGAGCATCTTGCTTGGAAACCATTGTGCTAGAATTTATCGATTTTAGCCTTTTTAGTAATATTCATGAGTATTATTCAGGTGTAAAGAACTGGTTCATGTGTTTGTGTTGTTAAGCTGTGTGTGATCTGGAGATGTGGGTTTTTTATTACACCCAACTGCTTTTATTTCTCAAGTGGAGGTAAGTGAATCAACTGTACTATATAGTCAGTCTGTTCTGTAGTGTAAATTTGTTACAGTGACGGTATTTGTTTTCTAAAAGCTGCAGTGTTAAAATAGAGAATCTTCAGTGTTTACATTACTATACTATATGTCCACTTGTATTTTACTGTGTATGAAATGAATGTATACTGTACTGTCCTGCACAAGACCTGTATCTACAGTATACTTACAGCCATCTCTCAATTTAAACGGTAGTTACGTTCTTGAGAATGGCGAAGTATAGAGGTAGATAATTTATTATATTTACACGATGAATTATTGGTTTATTACTGAAATTGAAGAGAAATTTATATACTGTATATTTTTGCTGAATGGGAAATAGTGATGATATAGTGCAGGTGAAAGGTAATAAAACGTACCAAAGAAATATTTAGTATATGCGTACAGTATTTGTTAACTGTATCACATCATATCTGAAGCCTTAATTTGTTCATTTTCTTGAGGGAATCATTACACAACTCTTGTATGTGATTGTTTTGCAGTTTACCAAATTTCTTTAATGTCCGAGTTTGCGCCATGGCCGAAATATTTTGTTTTCGAGGATGTAGACTCTTGTACAAAATTCCCTGGAGGCTTTTAGCAGAATCAGGAATTTATTTAATGATCATATAAGTAAAGGCTGTGTGGGACATTTACATTTATTTACATAGTCTCAGAATTTTTTTATTTAATGATCATATAAGTAAAGGCTGTGTGGGACATTTACATTTATTTACATAGTCTCAGAATTTTTCTTTTTGTTACTGTTTGGTGATTATTTTTCATGCAATTTAGATACTGTGTGGTGTGTAAGGCAAGGCAGCCCCTGTAGTGTGTGTGTGACCCTCTAGATGCCAGGTATTGCCAAGTGGTGAGGGAACTTATTGGTTTTGTTTCCAAGTTGGACAATTTCCTTTCTATAATTTTTTCCCCTCCTCTCTCCTCCTCTCCTCTCTCTCTCCATCCTCCTATCTCTCCACCTTCTTCTTCCCTCTCCTTTCCGTACTATCCCCTCTCCCCACCCCCCCATCTCCCTATCCTCCCCTACTCCCCACCCTCCCCTACTTCCTCACCTTCCCCTTCTCCCCCACCTTCACCTTCTCCCCCACCTTCACCCTCTCCCCCACCTTCACCCTCTCCCTACCCTAACCCTCTCCCCACCCTCCTCTTCTCCCCACCCTCCTCTTCTCCCCACCCCCAACCATCAACCCTTCTCCTCCCCCCCATTCTACATAACGAAGGGAGAAGTACAGTATCTTACGACAAAAACAGAGAGATGTGGGGGAGGAGAGAGGAAATTGGAGGGAGGATGGTTGTTGGAGAGAGGGAGAGTGTGTTGGAGAGAGGAAGGTTACTGGAGGGAAAGAGGGTGTTGGAGGGAGAGCGTATTGGAGAATTGAATTGTGTTGGAGGAGGGAGAGTGGGAGGGTATCATTGGGAGGTAAGGAATCGATAGGTGTTAAAATATCACCACCAGCATCTGCCTTACCTGCTGGGGGTGTTAACGAGCTGGGAGGAGATATAACGCGTGTGTGAGGAAGGTGTTGATGGCACTTAATATGTTTACACCCCTGATATTATCTCCTCAAGGTCTAATAATCTTTACAGAGAAGTTATTTTCACTACTGGAATTTCATCCCTAAGGAAGATATTTTCGCGAAGCAGTGGCAGAATTTTGTTATTTTCGCTCATAATTACTGTCTTCCACGAGTTATATTTCGCAGGGCGTTCGATGCCATATTGGTGTTGGTAAGTAATTATTCTTGTAAAATGTAGAGAATTATGAGATTACAGTTTAGTGTGTGTGTGTGTGTGTGTGTGTGTGTGTGTGTGTGTGTGTGTGTGTGTGTGTGTGTGTGTGTGTGTGTGTGTGTGTGTGTGTGTGTTAAAAAGAATGCCTCACCCCCCCCACACCACCACGGCCTCACCCCACACCCGTCGACGCCCGGACACACACACACACACACCCCCAATCACCACCTCCTCTACATGCTGGACACGTCAGGCCTTGGACATGTCCCAGTTCCAGTGCTTCATACTCACCATATTAAGACACGCGGGAATGAATCGTCCCCAGGGAAGGCTTGGTCAAGGTCTCCCGCTATTACGTTCACTTAATTTTTTTTTTACGTTTCTTGTTATAATTTTTCGTTTTCTTTTTAATTTTTACTGCTGTTGAGTTTATTAGTTTATGTTGTTTTGTTTGTTACTCAGTGGTGGTTAGGAGGTGTGTGTGGGGGGGAGGGGGCTAGATACCTTCTCCCCCCCTCCTCTCTCCCTTCCCCACCCTTATCCCAGTGACCTTGGGACATTGGTAAATAGAAGTTGACCGAGGGTTTTTAAAGTGTGTGTGTGTGTGTGTGTGTGTGTGTGTGTGTGTGTGTGTGTGTGTGTGCGTGCGTGCGTGCGTGCGTGCGTGCGTGCGTGCGTGCGTGCGTGCGTCGTGCGTGTGCGTGTGTGTGTGTGTGTGTGTGTGTGTGTGTGTGTGTGTGTGTGTGTGTAAAATTCATGGATATAGGGAGAAAATTATGGTAATGGGGGAGAAATCATGGTATTGGGGGGGAGGAGAAAGTTAAAATGGAGCCAGATTTTTTTTTTTTAGATTGCCCACGAGGAGGCTAGTTTATTGGGCACCCCCTTACATCCTGTGCAAGGTGAAGCGCAGAAGCGTTTACAGCGCCCAACTGGGAAGCACGCGGAGTTTGCCTTTAAAAAAAAATGGAGCCAGTGGTAAGGTCATGACCCCAATGCCACAGGTCAGGACCGTCTGGTGGCTTAACCCTCCCTTGATACCACAGACCAGACCCTTATGTTTGTTTATGTGTGTTTGTGTATGTGTGGGGGGGTGTGATTTACGAGAGAGAGAGAGCTTTACAGTATAAAATCACACGAAAAGAAAATCAAGGAAAAGTTAAGTCCGCCCCCACCTCCTTGGGTAGCTACGGAAGAAAAGTATTCTACGGAAATGGTAAGCAATTGAGAGGGAGAGTAGAAGGGGTTGGGGTTATTCTGAAAGGGTCTCCAAGGAGTGGGTTTTAATGTTCTGTCAAGTGGGAAAAGATTGAGAAAAAGGTGATTTTTTTTTGGTTTTGGTTTTGAGAGAATTTTGAGAATTTACACACACACACACACACACACACACACACACACACACCTACCACCCACACACACACACACACACACACACACACACACACACACACACACACACACACACACACACACACACTATACACACGCATACACACACACACATACACACACACACACACACTACACACACAGAACTGGTCTCTTTAAAGTACAAGGTATGTTCCTCTTTGTTATCATGGGCTGAAGACATCTACAGTATAGAAAGAGACAGGTGGGGGTAGTGGGTTGACTATATCTTGGTGGGTGGTGGTGGTAGAAGGCTAGTAGTGGTGGTAGGTGGCGGTGACTGGTGGTGGTGGTAGAAGCTGGTAGTGGTGGTGGGTGGCGGTGACTGGTGGTGGTGTAGAGCTGGTGGTGGTGGTGGGTGGCGGTGACTGGTGGTGGTGGTGAAAGCTGGTAGTGGTGGTGTTAGATGTGATTGTTGGTGGTGGTGGTCAGAAGCTGGTAGTGGTGGTGGGTGGCTGACTGGTGGTGGTGAGATGGTTGTGTCTCACCTCTCGGCACTCTTGGGGGATGCCAGGCCTCTTCCCCCCCCTTCCTTCCCTCTCACCTTTACACCCATTGTTATCAGGAAGGGCAACACCAGGGGGCAACACCACTAGAAGGGGAGCAACACCACTGGAAGGGGCACCACGCACTAGGGGGCCCACACTAGAAGGCTCCCACATACTAGGGGGCCCCACACTAGAGTAGGCTCCCACACTAGAGGGGGCCCCACAACTAAAGGAGACCCAGTCGAACATCATAGAGGACTCAACAGATGGCCAGTCAAAAGAGAGGAGGAGGGGCTGAGAGTGGCGCCCCCTTGTGAGAATTGTGAAGAGGCCATGTGGTGATGGAGGGAGAGAGAAAGGCAAGCAGGGAGGAAGGCAAGCAGGGGGACACAGGGAGAAAAGGAGAGGGTGGAAAGCAGGCAGGAAGGGAGGGAGGCAAGGAGGAAGTAGGCGGGGGTGAGTAAGAGGAGAGTTTGTACATAAAAGTAGGAGCCAGATTCCAGCACACACACACACACACACACACACACACACACACACACACACACACACACACACACACACACACACACACACACACACGTTAAACGCCATCTGGTGACAGGATCATGAAACTAACATCCTTACGTAGATGTAAGTAGATATGAAACAAGATCATGATAAGAAATAGACGGGGATAGAATACGTCAATGAAAGGGAATGAAGAGAGAATAAGGAAAGGGAGATATAAGACACAATAAGGTAATGTAATGATGGTTGAGAA